TGTGGAGGGCAGCGTCACTGGCCCTCATATGTGGGATCCGAACCGGGGCCCTCTGGCATCCCAAGCCAGTTCTTAACCATCGCACCACTCGGCAGGCCTGAGAATGTCTCTTCTTAAGTGTTACACAATGATGTCCAGTCCTGCTAGAGGCAGCTTTATGGAGCCTAGTGTCACTTTAAGTGTCAGCATAAGACATGAGAACCTCCCAGGTTTAATGATCAGCCAGTACATACCAACACAGATGTACCAATGGTTAAAATATCAAAATACTGTAATTCCATATGAGTTGGTTAATAATAACTGCAATAATGGTAATATTAATTAAGATTTTGAATTCCAACACACATGTTTTATCTCGGAAATCACATATTCTCTGAACTTCCTAGACATTTTTCCAGTTCAGGTACTGTATTACAGGGCTGAGGCACTTGCTGAAAATATCTTATTTATTTCAGCATTGGAAGTTACCCCTGGGTTCAAAACGCATAGGCTAAGGAAGAGGGCTAATCAGCTGGGCTCAGGTAGATCTGTTCTGTGTACTTACAGAGGAAATGCCTAGTACAGGTAGAGTTGGAAAAGGCTGCTGGGAGCTATGTGCATATACAGATAGGGCATATTCCTTCCTTAACAGTACTTAAGGAGAATTTAGGGTTTTGCTTCTTTTTGATATTATCACCTGCAGTAGGTGATCATTTCTTTACATTGTGGAGAGGGCTGTGGAGAGGGAATTCTGCCTGTGACCTAATTTAATGGCCAGAAGAAGGCAGGCTTGGACCGGTACTGGTGTGAGCCCTCTTTCTGTCCTTTACCACCCCCACCTCCTTCAAAGCTGGCCTCCAGCAGAGAAACCTGACGCCAGAGCCCTTCTTCCCACTCCCTACGGCCCATCTGCTTTCCAACTTGCCAGGCTGTGACCTTCCTGGTCAAGAGACCTTTCTCCCTTTGGGCAATGTGATTCCTGAGCACTTTTTCTGTTTTTCTTTCTCAGTTCTTCTTTTGCTCTACCAGGTAATGTGGCTTCAGTTAATTTCTGCCTCACAAATTAGAACTGTCTCCCCTCTAGCCTTTGCAAATATGTAGCCTTCTCTTGTCCCTCAGTGAAATGAAAGGGACCAGAGACACAGGCCTTACTATTTACCACACTTCATTTTGTCCTCCCCTGTCTACCTGTGACTTACGTGCTCCTGGCACTGTGGTATATCCTGATGGCGGGAGAAAAGAGAATGACACAGGAGTGGAAGTCTAGAGAACGGTCATGAAAATTAAAAGCTAAAACCCAGTGGGTGGGGTGGGGTGAAGTCATAGCCTGTCTTCTTTGTCCTCTTCCCCTTCTGTTTAGCTGGGGAGAGCCAACACGTTACTTCACTCAGTCCAAGAGAGAATTACACATCTCCAGGTCAGTTCTGGACTGACTTAAGAACCAAAGCCTTGAGAATCACAGTGGGACAAGATATTGTTTTGGAGGGTGGGTAGGAAAAGTGGGAGCATCAGGTGAGGATCGAGGCTTACCTTAGGGAATCTCATAGGTGAGGAAAGGTTGATCAGAAAAATGGTCTAACCCTGGACATTGGATTGCTCCTATGCCTTAGATGTCATGGGGTGTCTCAACTGTGAAGCCTGGAGAAGCTGATGCTGGATTCAGCACCTGCGGGATGTGAGCTTCGTAAACACTCCAGAGTTGAAAGAACTTGAATATATGATCACACAGATGTTGACCATACTGGAAAGCTACTAAAAGATAGGAGATACTAAAAGAACATCTCATGTTTTTTAAAAAGTGAAAAAGCCATTAAAAAACTCATATTGTATGATTCCATTTATTTGAAATATCCATAATAGTCCAAATCTATAGAGACAGAAAAAAGATTAGGAATAGGAGGTAGAGCACTGGGAATGGAGAGTGACAGTGACAGATCATGGTTAAAAAGTTCTTTTAAGGGTAATGAAAATGTTCCAAATTAGATTATGGGTCAGGTTGCACAATTCCCTCGACATACTAAAAAACATTAAATTATATTCTTTAAATGAATTATGTTTTATATTTCATGTGATTTATATCTCAATAAAATTGCTAAAAATGAATACTTTTTTTTAAATGTGGAAAAGGTAGAATTTGAGAATTACAGATGATCAGCTCTGTGTGGTTCCTTAGAAAAATCTGGAACGAATTATTTGACAGATGGTAGGAGACATTTAGGTAAGAACGTGGTGATCTTTGAACATCTGTAGGCATCACTAGGAACAAGTCACGTCAGACAAACCTTGAGTCCTCCTTTATTAGGCTTACTTTATTAGTAGGTGAAGGAAATGGCATGAAAAGTTGAAGTAAGCTGTCATGATTGTAACACAGCTTTTTAGTGTTAGCAATTTTTTTTTTTTTTTAGCTGAACCAATTCTGCCACCTGTTGGCAGCTCATCGGCAACTCAGCTCGGGCCGGGACTCGAACCACTGTTGCTCAGAGCTCGCACTCTTGCGCAAGCTCTTAACCAACTGAGCCACTCAGCCGGCCCTGTAACACAGCTTTTTATTTCGTGAAGTGTCCTGTGCTACATGAGTGTATGAGATTGGTTGACAATGTTGGGATTCACATTCACTGAAAAAATATTCCTCAGACATGGTGATTATTCAGTCCATGTGTGTCTGGAGTGAGCTCTCTTAGGAAGTTTTTTTTTTTTTT